TTTTAAAGACATTTTATAGCCTCAATTTGCTCTTTATTACTCCTCTACCCTTTTGTTTCCTAACTTGAAATGATTCAATATTCTTTACAAACAGATTCTAATTATGGTTAGCATGTGGAGTAAAATCCCATTGAACACATAAGCAGAGTTCACACAAGTACTCAGATTTCATCATCCAAAAAAAGAGAAAGGGAGATTATTCTCTGCCTTGGAACTTTGTAGAACTTTCTAGAGACTCATTTTCTCCTAATTAAATGTGCTTTAATATATATATTCATTCCTAGGAAATGGCTCAGGCTCAAATAGGCAGCCATTGGGTGTTGGGGTACTTACTCCCCCCACTGCCCACCTCTTTTCTTACCCCAGAGGCACTCCTTAAAGTATTGGAGTCTGTAATAAAACAGGACAGCTTCATCCCAGAACATGCCAACCGATCATGTGGACAAAAGTAAGTTACCAGGGAAAGAAAAAGATTGTGATAAAAAGTGGATGGTTTATTTTGTGGCAAGATTTTAAAAAATAATAACAAAAGTCATCATCAAGTAGAAGGTGAAAAATTCCTATAATTTTAGCATCAAGGCATTTTTATGACCAAAACTAACCAGAATTTTATGTCAAAAATAAAATTTTAAAGTATTCCTCTGCCCCTTCTCTCTCCTCTGCTCCTCCAAAGGACTAGGTATCCCTCTTCTGTCTCTTGAAAACAAAAATTTAATTTCTCTTGGTGTCTGACTTTATGCCAGTTTGAATTCAGAGGACCCCCAGAGTTTTCCTGTGTAACCAGAGACTCTGAGTCAGATTTCCCCCTTGGGAAGCATAGCAGGAAAGGTTTGGGGATGTTCCTTAGAAACAAGTCACTCTGTTTGACCTACCCAGTACTAGTGAGGTAGAAAGTGTTAGGAAGGTCTGGGTTCTAATCCCAGCTCTGCTCCTTTCTCTGTGAGCTGGAGCAAGGCATTTGATCTTTCAGAGTCACAGCTTCCTTATTGGTAAAAGGATTTGTGAAATGAGAATCATAATACCTACTTCATTAGGTGACTGTGAGAATTAGTTGAGGCTAAATATGTATAGCTTCTAGCCCAAGTCTGTCACACAGTAGCAGCTCAGTAACAACTGGTTTCCCTTCAGCCAGCCAAGAGTCAGATGTTAGCAAAACACATTTTGAAACGAAGGTCAGCTTCATATCATTTATCATAGAGTGAAAGAAGATCCTAAAAGAAAACCAAAGATCTCTTTATCTGAAACTCAGTCTGAAGAGTAGACCTTCTAGAATTGGAGTGGTTATTAAACTTGCAGGAGTCCCTTTGCGGGCACACTGTGCGTTGTATTCTGTGAGTGTTGCGTTTGTAAAGGAACTGAGTTGAGTTCAGGAATTGTGTTCAGGTACCAAAGTGAGCTCTAATATAAACTGTTAGTGCAGATTGTGCACATATTGAGTGTTCAATATATTTTGGCATGTAAGATGAGAGATGTTTAAGAAATTTTTGAAATAAGTTGACCATGTTATACAAAAAGAGCTAAAAAAGACATTAATCCCCCAGAGCAGTAATGGTGTCAGTGTAGTGAATCTTTGAGAAGGCTTTTCCTCCTATATACAAAGAAGCACTGGAGTATAATAATTTGTTATATGATTACGATCATATACGGATGTCATGTTACATATGGTGTAAGGGTTAAGTGCACAGATTCTGAAATGAGCCAGAACTGAATACAAATTCAGGCAGCAGTCAATATTGTCGAGATTGTAGGTTTGACCCCTGTGTTAGCTTTGCCTTTTTCTGTGGCCCCAAACTGTCTTCATCTGTCTTTGGTCATAGAGAAGCCAATATTTATGTGTGTGGAGGGAACAAGACAAATCCATCACCACTAATCAACCTAAGCACTCAGGTCAGTGGTGTCATCTGCATAATATGGGGGGGGGGGGTTCCCATAATGTGACAAGAAGAGAAGACTAGTAACTTTGACCAGATGGGAGAGCTCCACAGATGGCTCCCACTTGGAGTTAAACAGACTGACATGTTACAGGTAGGGTCCCAGCTCCATGTGTTAGATACATACTTGGCTGCTTTCTTTTAAATTTATATCTCTAATCTGAAACTGAGCTGTTTCAACTCCAGAGCATCAACAGAGAAGATACAGAGTACACTCTTACCCCCCAAATTTTTTTCCTTTCTCTGGTTATAAATACCTCTATGCTATTGTATTTGGCATGCCGTATGCAAATGGAGGTAGGAGTCCTAAAGCTCATTAGGAAAGGGACAGAGGCTTGGAGCACAGAGAGGACAGCGCCGAGCCGAAGTTGATAACAGTGGCCTTGTCCAGAATAGTGCATGGGAGCTTTCTTATCTCGCTTTGGCAGGAGGTGCTGTGGACTTCCTGTGCGAAATCAGGAGCTAACGCTGCTTTCCTCTTGTTGTTCGGCTTCCTCCCCCCTCAAGACGGTTCCCAGCACAGTGATTATCTTTGCATCTTCAAACATGGCACAATCTACTTCCTTAAGAGCTTGATGTATTCTTAAGGCTCAGGCAAATTCCCTTCCCCCTAAATCTCTTTTTAAGTGCTGATATATAGTTAGGCTCCTAAATGATATTCTATTTTTATGGTTCCAATTACAAAGAGGGAAAAATAGCCCCTAAATTAGAAAATAGTCACAGAATTTGTCCTTTTCATATGGAAGATCTGGTAGTAAGTCTGGCCTATAGTTTCCATACTAGGGCTTGTACTGTTATTAGCTGCCCTTTGAGTCATGGGTGGGGGATGGGGGAGTCGGGGGAGGTGGGAGTGTCAGAGGTTGACAGCCCCAAGTGAACTCAGACAGCAGACTGTATTTCCCTTGGGATATGTGTAGACTTGCCTTACTCTAACATGTTTCCTTGCATTTCCTGAAGACCAAGAGTATGAAATTAAGATCTTTGACTAAGTCCTCCCTTATCTTATAATTGCTTTGGGGAAAAAAGGAATAAAATTAGAAGTCTTTAGAGACTTCTCTTCCAGATACAAGAGAACTTCAGCTCTTTGATGTCATAATCCCAAGTGCACATGCATATGTCTAATATAGGTGTACACATGTGTATACATATATATTATATGTATTCACATACATGCTGAGTGCGTGAAAGACGGGAAGTCAAATAATAGTTCAAGGTGTAGATGTTATCGTCTAGCAAATGGAGAATACTGATAATGAAAAATAGAACAAAGTGACCTGTATATAATGATTTTAAAAGTTTATCGTTAAAACGTTTCCAATAAAGGAGAAAGTATATAATTTTTCTTTGGTTCAGTATACTCTATTAATCAATAAAGGTTAAAATGTTCACTTATTTTACTTAATGATTGTAAGGAATAGCTAGTAGAAATCACAGAAATTCCTAAAGGAATGATCAGCCCTTATTTATTCTTTTTTATTTCAAATCTTACAATCTAACTGTCAAAACAGACATTTAAAAATATTTGGGGAAATCTGATATATGGTCTAGGTACAAACATTACAATAGAATTATTGCTAATTCTGTTAGGTATGAAAGTAGCATTGTCATTATATTAGAAATGTGCATATTTTTTAGAGATACCCTGTGAAGTATGTAGGGCTAAAATGATGTGATGTCTGGGATTTGCTTTAAAATACTTCACAAAAGAAAAAAATAAATAAGGGATAGATAAAACAAATGTGGCAAAATCTTGATAATTGTGAAATCCGGGTGATGGGTATATGGAGCATATCACTATGCTCTGTCTTTATCAGTATGTTTGAAAATGATAAACCATTAAAACAAATGAAAACTCTACTAGAAACGGCACATTCAGTACTTCATGCCTGTCAGTATGTTTTCAAACGTTTGTGGAGTGCTGATTACGCACTAGGCCCTTGCTTAACTCTGGGAACAACGTGAATAAATAGACTTGGTCGCTGTCCCCATGTAGCTGTCGCCTCCTGGGGCATTGAAGCATTAAGTTGACACTTAGAAGGTGGTGAGTGCTCTGCAGGAGGACATTATAGGGCATGTAATGTAAGGAGGGGAGCCTAACCCAGCCGACTTGATAGTGTAGCATTCTGCAGTCTTTTCTTAGCTCAAGGACCAGGGAGGAATAATAGCAGAACTTTTTCTAATCATCACAATCCCTTCTATCTCACCTTTTTTGTCACTTACTTTATCCTCTCCCTTTCATCTCACATAACTCATTACTGCTCTTGGCTACTTAAGATCAACCACTCATTCCTTCTGGAAATTGGGCTTTAAAATTCCTCCTGGTTTGAAAACTTCCAGAATCTTCCCAAGATATGTACAAATTAGAGACCAGCTTTCTGCTCCCCCCAAATTCTAGTCCAAAAGGTAAGAATAAAAAATGATGAAATGTTTAAAATAAAAAAAGAGAGGAGAGATTTCATGGACTTTGAAGATAAACAACGGCAACACCCTTACTTTATAATTAAACACTTGAGGCTTGAGAAATTAAAGAGCTTGCCATGATACCCCAAACTTGAAAAGAAATAGACTGAATTTAATAATGCTCCATGATATTTGTTTCCATATGCACTTAATTAGCCCTGGAAAAAATTAACTGTACAACTGAATATTCTGATTAAAAGCCTGCCATTTATAGATGTAAAATGCTATTATTTCCTCGAGGTTTCCATTCATTAACATAACTTCGTTTTTTCTCCTTGTGTTTGCATGTTACTTCTACTAGGAACTAATTAAAATCTAGATATTAAATTTTCCAATTTATGCATTTTTTAAAAATTTAACATTTAGAACAGAAAGGATATATGGTAGCAAACTGGTATGGGGTTTTTTAAATATCAGGGAAATATGTTTGCTATTTTTAAGTTCTGAGGACGAATATTAGGGGAACAAAATCTAAGAAAAAGAACATTCACATAAAATTTGTGACTTTGTTATCTGAGGACTTTTCTAATGATTTTCATTTCATCAGTCACCATTGGCTGGACCACGCCATAAAGCAACATTGTCAAGACTTACTTTTTTTTTAAATAGGTATGACTTTTGTTCCAATAACGAAGAGCCTTTTATCCTGGATCCTGACAGCAACATAGGAAACAGAATTGAGAGCATCACTCAGCGCATGGCAATAATAGAAGGAAAGAATAAGGTATTGTTTGTAAAAATGAGCATTGGGATATTTATTCTAAAAATATATGCTCAGCTCCCAGTTCTAGGTTTATTGAAACTAGAAGTAATTTAAGTGCTCAAAAAAAAAAAAAAATTCACAGAGTAGAAAGACAATATCTGTGATATCTCTTCATGGAGAGATACACTGAGACTACTCACGCTGCTGTGTTTCTAACTAACCACCAGTTCCAAGATGATGAGTACTCGTTGCTAATGGAAGAGGTGAAGCTGTCCTCTTGAACATCAAACTGGTCCACATCCGTGGTTCCCAACCTGGCTGCATATTAGAATGCTCTGCCAATTATTATTACATCCAGATCTCTGAGGTAGACCCCAGGTGACTGTCCTATGTAATCAGGACTGAGAATCACTGGCATACATAAAGATGTATCCCAATAATCAAAAGCTAGTACAAGACTTAAGGCTAAAATTGAATGTTTCCATTTCACAAAATATCATGTTTTTCCTGTCTCTGCAAGAGCAACAGTCTATGAAGATTCCTTGACGTAATCAGAGTTTAGTGGGCTTTTTTTTCTTTTGCTCTTGCACCATTCATTTTCTGACCCCCCACTCAGCCTTGGCAATAGCTGACAACCTGCAAACCAGGCAAGTCTCAGTGGATCTTAGACCTAGTGGCTTTTTTCCTACTGAGTTAGTGAAGAACACACTTAAAAATCTGCTATTGTCAGACACAGGGATAATTATGCATTAAAAAAGAAAAAATACCAAATAACCCTTTGCTGAAATGTCTGTTCATACATGCATATCTTGATTTGGGGTAGAGACTGCAAATACAGATGCCACTGTCTGCCTGAGTGTGGTTATGCTTCTATTATCTATTCATTCAGCTATTTGCATTTGAAGATGACAGAGTAGAAGGCACTGTTCTCCATGTAGGATTTAACAATAACAACAAATAACAACTCTATTTTTCATTATGTAAAAATTTCTGACATGCGCTAATGTCAACATCATCCTCTGGCAAGCCAGAGTGGTTATCTCCATTTTAAAGATAAAAAAGGTGGGGTGGGGTGGGGGTGTAATAAGATGATTAACCTAAAGCCACTCAGCTTAAAAGTGTAAATGAGAAATTCAAACCAGTCTTCCTATTCCAAAACCCAGTGCTCTCACAGCCATCAAAGTCAACACAGAAATTAGTTGAAGTGGCGATGGCTTATACTCATATGATAACATCAATAGTCACTTGTCAAGGATTTAGGGATAGTTTTTATAACTACAGCAGTGGCTGTAAGTGGTTCACAATTCCTTCTCTTTAACACAAATAAGCAGTATGTATAGCTATTGATGACAGAGAGCAGTTCAGTGAAATACTTAGAAAAGAGGAAATTCTATAAATGTGAAGGTTAATTTGGGTGATACATTTTTTAAAAAAAGGAAATTGCCTCAGTTTATTAGAGATACACAGCAAGTTAGCTGTCACAAAGAACTAGAAAATTTTCAAAATGCCATTGGTTGTGTCAATTCATTTTGCCTCTTCCTGACCATATCAGGTGGATGTACTATTAACTTCTGGATATTAAAACAGGAATTTATGAGATTAATTTCAGTGGTAAATTCTAGATCTATTTTGGTATAATATTCATACAAATACACAGTATGGAATAAAATGGAAAATGAGAAAGCTAGGTAGGGTTTCGGATTAGCCTGAACCATGAAGTTGCAATCTGATGCCATATATTATACCTGTGAAAAACAGTGGGAGTGGAGTAGCAAAACCTGGCTGAGATAAAAGAACGTCCCTGATTTTCTCCATGCAGGCTTGAAATGAATTTATTGTCTTGTAACTGTGTAGTTATGCAGAAGATTTTAAATATAGACCACTGCACGCAGCTGGCACTTGTGCCACCCAACCTGCAGTCAGGAACCCCTGGGTCAAACCCTGCCACTTTCTAACTGTACAACCACATGCAAATCATTTCACCTCTCTCAACCTGAGTTCTCTCCTCCAAAAAAAAAAACAGAGCTAATGATATTTGCCCTACCTAACTTCCTGTTACAAAGATGAAATGAAATAACATCATGAGAAAGCCCTCTACAAATACTACTTTAATAAACTAATTGCCATATATGCCCTAATGTAATTTCCCAAACTCATTGTGATCATATACAATAAATACTATCTGTTAAACAGTTGTTTGCACTGAAAAAACGTTTAATACTCTTTCTAAACAAAGCTGAAATATATATAAGGCACCTATTCTATTAGCGGCTGTAACTGCAACACGTTAGACTTAAGCAAATTATTGATTTCATGTCCTGAATTTAGGAGAATTTACTACTTTTACTTTTAGCATCTACTAATATATCTTTTTTTGTGTGTGAAAATAATGTATCTTTTATATAATAATAAAGAGACATGGAAGTTTTGTTATTTCTGAATTATATACAGTACTCTTTCCTTTACAATTAAAACTGTTCTTACTTTCTGTGCATTTTTAAAAAGTAAATTAAAGTACCAACTTAGTCTGCGATGCTCCTTTTATCCACAGTCATACAGTTAGCATGCCCAGCAATACTATTTCCACAGCTCACTGGGACAGCGCTCACACTGGAGTACCTGTTGATTTCAGAGACTTTTTCTTCTTTCTTTGTCTTTTTTTTTTTTTTTTCTGTTTAACTCAAGGAAGGGTTATAGAGGACAATAAAATTCAGTTTCCTCATTGGCAAGTTTTGACCCAGATTTGTAAAAAGTGAGTCATCAATTGGAGTTTTTTTTGCTAACAGCAAATGTGGAGTTTTCGTATTGTCTAAATTGGGTTGCCAGACTAATTGGGTTTGTGGATATGGAGTAGGAAGTAGAAGGAACTCCGTGTTAGAAAAAACACACAGGAAATACATGTTACAGCATTAATTCTGTACGCCTGGACAATAGTGACAACTGCAATGTTTTAGCAACATTTCCATTGAAGTCATTTTGGCTGCACATTGAGAAGTGTGTGACAAATACATGACAGAAGGAATAATACTAATCACAGAATTACAGCTTGTGTTTCAGTTCCCACACACACCCAATTTTTTCTGATTCTCACATTCTATTTTCAATTGGCTCAAATGTGCCACCCTATGTAAATTTTAGACTCTCTTCTGGCCTTTACACATCTACTTTTATTTCTTCTCCCTGAAACACTAGAAAGGAAGCTGTATTAGAAACATCTCGAAATTAAAATCACTGTTCCACACACAGATTTTTTAAAAACTAGTGCTAGAAATCAGGCTGAATGACACATCACCCCTCCGTGAGGTTCAAAGAACATCGTGAGGTTCAAAGAACATCGTAGTAGTGGATTACTAATGCTTAGTGAAAGGGAAGGAAGGAAGGAACATGAAGAAACTCCAAACTTACAATACTTGACGGTAGTTTCATGAGCATTCCTGGGTCACACAGAAGAGCCCAGAGAATGAACCTGAAAGGTCTGTTTCTAATATCTTTATCCGTGAGGTCCTGGCAGGGCAAGTGAACACACCCCCAAACTCGAAGCACCTTCAAAATAAAAGGTGTAAAAATGAGGAGTACACTGGACTGGAAACCTTGCTAAAAGGATGCTTGTCCCAAATTATTCAGTCAACAACAGAAATTGAATTGTTTTAATGTTGTAGGTTGATGTGAAAGGATTGTTACTACTTATCTTCTGATCTGGATGTTTATATTCTGATTTTATTTTAGCATTTCTGCTTTCTTTCTCTTTCTTCCTCAGTCCTCTTTCACTTATTCTCAATTGTGCAAAATGAAAACTAATTACAGAACTAATATAAGCAGATATCCTTGAGAATTTATTTTGGTGTATCTTATAAAATAAATGATTACAATTTGAAACATATGTCACAACTCAAATTCATCACATGTTCTCTTTTAAAGTATTAAGTTGATATTTGGTGCTGCAACTGTTATGCTATTTTTGCTTTTGTTTTTCCTTGAAATATCAGTATTTGGTTATGAGCACTGGGGAACAGATTTGTCCCTAAGTTTAATTCAGAAAACTCATGCATTAAAATTCACTGTCCTATGAGAAGCTGCCTTCTAGTTCAACCAAACTACGCTGACCTACAACTCACTTTCTCTTTTCTCTGACCTTATAAAGTTTAAATTTTAACTGTCAAATATCTTTTATTTTTTATGAAAATATATTTTAATTTATAACTTAAAAATATATCCTCTGGAAGAAGAAAAATGCTTTAGAGTACTTTAGAGATCATTTTTAATAAAGTTGATCATAGGCTATAAGTTTAACCTGATTTTTAAATGTTCTTCTTTAATTATAACCTTTTCATTCATCAAACGTATTTTCAAACCATATAACATCATATCATTTGGAAAAAAACAGCTTGTAGCTTACGCAAAATGCTGTCAAAGATGGAAACTAGCATTTCTTTACATAGTAGCATTTAGCCATGTGATTCATCTCTGCTGATTAAAGGAGGTATTCTAAAGGAAATACCCAATCTAAAGAGTAGACAGAAATTTACCAATAGACCTGCGTTATTCAGTTTAAAGAGGTTTAAGGCAGAAGCAGTACAACGTAGAGATGAAGAGCACAGGCACCGGAATCATAAATTCTGCGCAGGCCTGTCCAGTGTATATATTTGGGTGAACCACTTAACTTCTACAAAACCTCAGTTGCCTCATCTGTAGAACAGGGTAACACACCCATCTCATAGGACTATAGGGAGGATTAAATGAGATAATGTGTAAACTGCCTTGCATACTGTCTGGTGCATAGTAAGAGCTACTTAAAGGTACCTAGAAACAAAGGAGTAACGTACACTTCCATCAAAGTCATTTTCTACTTCTATTTTAGCACAAACTTTGGAGAAGTGAGTTCTGGGGCAGGTCTGACTATAAGTATCTGTTTTGGAAGGCATTATTCAGGCAAAAGAAGGAAGACTCAAATGCATTTCTATTTCCATTGTTCATCATGTGACCCAGATTCATTTCACTTCTGGGTACTTCAATTTTTTTCTTTGATTATACAAAAATTCTGACCTATCCAACTATTTGTTGGAGACTTGTAAAATGGCTGCAGCCATTCCCAGATTACCTGCATCGGTTCTTAACATGGCAAATATGTACACTTAAACTGACTTTTTGCTGCCATGAAACCCAGTTCTTGTTCTCAGTTGCTTTGAGTTCAGTGAAATCAAAATCATTTTAATAGAAACCCAAACACAACTTATAGATGCAGGTAATTGCTGTCTGTAATTTTTAAAATTCTTAAGCCAACAGAAATGGGTTTTTCACTTATTTATTGAGCAAAAATAAATCTGAGAATCAAAGTAGGTTTCTATTTAGGCCCATTAAGGATAAACACATGAGAACTAACCTCATAAGAAGAACAGTGTTTGAGCTGACAGGCGAGCATGAGAAGGCTTCATCTGAGCTCCTTGTTTCTGAACCTGTTGCAAACTGCTTTGAAGCATCTGTGCCTGAGACTCCTGAGATAACGTAAGGGGGTCAGAATCTTATTTGATGATTTTTACTCTCCTTCCAGCTGCCACCAGCTAACAGTTTTTTCATCTTGACATCTACAAGCTTCTCTTCTAACTACTTCATTTTCTTCCATGACTCTTTAAGTGATAGGTAAAATAATTAAGAGGAGAAGGCTATTTGGAATTTTTTATTTCCCACTTCTTATAAAAATTAATAATCAAAACAAGGAAAGAGATACCTGAGCTCTCTTTCCACTAATTATTTGTCTTCTAATGAATGTTTCCTTGCAAAAGAGAGAATAATATATATTTGATCTTCAAAGTAGGAAAATTCTTCTCTATCACCTTAAAGGTTGGTACGATTAGGAATTATATCATATTCATTTCTTGTCTCCTGTACAACATCTGGGCAATGCCTTAATAATCACTCAATAAATGTTGGCAAAATTGAATTAAAAATGCCACATATTGCTGACACTTTCATTACCAATAATTTCAATAATACACAGAGAAAATATGGGTAGATGCAATTAAGCAGATCCTCCCAACAAATGGAAGAGAATGCACTATGTGATATTCACTATACCATAGTGCCAATTATGGAGAAATTGGAGCAATGAATTTGCTGGCTATAAAAATTAGGAGCATGTGTTTTAGTCTCCCTGATCTGTAAGTTAAAGACAAACGTACCTTAATTTATTAGGTGGGATAAAAGGACACAAGTAAAGTGCCTAGTATATTACTTAGCAACTCAGAAAACGTTAGGAGCCTTCCCACTGACCAAACCACTTATACAGTATGTTCACCACCTTGGAAAGTTCGCTGTCACATTTCAGCCTGTGCATTACTTTAGCTTGTAAGTCATTTGATCATTAATACTTCAGCTAGGACACTGCATTAGTCTGGAAGTGACAGTACAGCCTCTACAATTTCAAAGCCCATGACTAGTTATTTGTGTTCTACCAGAAAGACTGCAAAAATTTATAAGTAACTAGATCAACTTTTTTTTTTTTGTAATTTTAAGTATGAAAAACTAGCTTTTTCATTTTTTCACACAGATAAACATTACTTTTTAATGCAGGGTTGGGTTAAATTTAAGAATGCTCAACAATTTGATATCATTAATCTTTTTCTTTAAAAGAAAACAATGCAAGTCTTTAAGTTGTCTAAATTTTTGTTTCATTACTTTGTGTCATTAATTTTTAGACATCACAGTTCGAAAAGTGCTTTCATGTTCACATAAACTTGACTGTTTCTTTAGGGGCTAAGTTGTCAAATAGTAGCACTAAAATCTAGTGAAACAGTATTGTTGTATTAATTCATAACTTGTATCTTCCTTTTTTAGATGAGGAATTGACAAAACTGAGAAATTAAATAATTTACAAATACACACACACACCCCAATCTTAGTGAACTTTCTGGCCTCTTGTCTCCTTCAGAACTCTTCAGGGATGCATGCCACATTCTTTGAGCACATGAAAGAAATGGTTCAGCCAAACTTTCTTGTCTGTCCTTGCTCACCTAACATGCCAATTTATAGAACCAAACAGCAGAGAAGGCTCCTGTAACCAAATGGCATCCATGCTCCCAGGTCACCCAAACAAAAGGGAAGGCCTCGGCCTCACCTGTTCCTCTCATTGACGTGGAACTGACCACCTCTTAGGGTAGGACGTGCAGTCCCACAGCTCGGCTTCAGGTCTGTAATTGTTACGCCAGCAGCACGAGATAAATAAGCCTGAAACCCTCATATGAGTCGGATGTCATAGGCCCCGGTCTCCTGAGGACCTGCTTTCCTGTTATTTTTCCATTCTTGTTGGGGCTCGGCAAGGGGAGTAACCACCACCCATGCAACACTATCTTTGCTGAATGAATGGAATAGCTGAATCATTTCAACCCTCAGAAGTACCTTGGGGATGTTCATAGTTTTTTGTCCTATTCCTAGCTAAAATGTCCTTTTCTTTTACAGACGGCTAGCACCTTGGTTGTGGCCAACTCTATAATTTCTGGAATCTACAGTTGCATGGCTTCCAATAAAGTAGGGACTGTGGAAAGAAACATAAGCTTTTATATCACAGGTAAGCAACACATCCTATACCCATAAAGACAGCCTGGTGACCTCAGTCTCTCTTCAGTCTTGTTTGCTTTTAGTGCACTTATAGCTTGAGTGATTAAAAAAAAAAAAAAAAAATCCATAGAATTGTCAAACTTTGAATACCTTCGTCCTTGCTCTCAGGAATAGAATTCTACAACATCGTTGGATCTCCTCTATTATTTCCCCTAATTTTCTTTTAGAGTTATTTGTGCATGTCTACCTCCCAGACTGGATTATGAATTTTGGATGTTACATGTTCATTTTTCAAATTCCCTCAGTATTTAGCACAGGGTCTGGCACACAGTGGTTGTTCAACAACAATAGAGGAAACTAATTATAAAACATATGATGACATGGTTTTCTTGTTAACCAAGAAGCTAATTGTTTCACAATTTAAGTAATCTAGATTTTGGGGGGAATGAGGATTGCCTATAGAGATGTGAAACGGAGCTCTGTAAACAGTAATTAATGGGTTACTTTTTGATAGCATTTAAGAATTTTTAGCCTTAAATATGATGGTCTCTGCAAATCTTAAAAACTCCAAGGAACACAAATGGCACTCCCTATGTCCCTCCATGAGTACAGGAAGGAAGTAAGTAGCTCAAAGTATAAAAACAATTGCCTGGCTCCACACTCCCCCAATTTCTGAGGAAACCTGGGCAGTCTGCCAACACTTTGGAAACTTCGCACTGCATGGGGCAGGCTGCAAAAATTGCCTAGAGGCCTCCAGAAAGAAATAGGCAGGTCCAGTTCCGTGAGATGTATGGGTTGTCAGATCACAGGAGACTTCTGGCAAGTTAGCCAAGCCCCAGAGAAGCTGTGCCATGGGATATATCCTTGAGTAGATTCTCACAGAATGTTAGAGCTGGAAGGAACTGGAGAATTCAGTATTACAGTTCCCGCATTTTCCAGATGAGGAAATGGAATTTGGAGAAATGAAGAAGTATCTCTAGGCAGAGCAGCTCTAGACCAATTCAGTCCCTGTCTCTCATTTTAGAGAAGGGAAAGGGAAATCATCTTTGCATCTATTCCAAGTAAGAAAAGGCCTTTATTTGGAGAAGGATTCAGATAGAAATTTCACACAGATTGGTTCTCTAATAAACCTCAAATGATTTGGACTAACTAAATACAAAGGTTTGCACTGTTCTTTATATTTGGTTGGAAACAAGTTACTGTCCAAATCCGTAGTCACTGTACTTATATGTCTGATTTAGAATGCAAAAGATTGAGCAATTCCTGTTCTGTTCTGAACATTCAACAAGTTTGCAACAGTTTAATGACCACTAACTATGTTAAACAGTACAGTTCAACTCTGTTCTGAGCACTTGAAACACAGAGCCCTGTCCTTCAAGGAAGACAGTTCTAACACCCAGGAAACAAAGAAATGTTAAGTTATATATGAGAGAACTTCAAAAAGTTCATGGAAAGATTCATAGTATCTTTCAATTCTATTTTTCCACAAACTTTTCGAAGTACCCTCATATATCCTAGTATCAAAATGTATGTGCAGAAGTAATGTGACAGATTAATTTACTCTCTAAAGCCATCACTATCCAATAGAGATATAATATAAGCCACATATATTATATTTGAAATTTTTAAGTTTCTAGTAGTAATCACATTTTTAAAAAGTTTAAAAAAGTGAAATTATTTTTATTTAACCCAATATATACAAAATATTATAATTTCAACATGTAAACAACATTTAAAAAAATATTACACTGCTTCAGCTTTTAAATTGAAATCAATTTAAATAAAATCAATTGAATAAAATGTATTCTTCAGTCACACTAGCCACATTTCAAGTGCCCAAAGCCACACATGGAAGCCAGACTTGAAGAGGTCCTGGGGAAAAGGGGGTGTAGAATTTGAACAGCTAGAGAGGACAGGCTTGCCCTGACATTTTCAGAGCCAAGACAAGAGTACCAGTGGAGTCCCGCAAACCATAGTCTAACCACTGACATATTCTAAAGCAAGCAAACAGGTCCTTAAACATGTTTCTGTCTCATATGGACAAATATACCTTCATGATGGCCTGAAAGGTCAGGATAAATTTAGAATTTGGGGACTACTCAGAGTTCCAGAGCAGACTGTGGCAGCGGCTCGTAGACTCACCTATCTCCTCTTCCCACCCCTCACTCTTGTCCCACACTGTGAAGGGCCCTGCACCCATGTGTGTGGTCTCCCTGGCCACACACATCCAGAATCTGCCCATGCCCCTCCCAAATAGTATCCCCACAGCCACTTCTTGGATGGACCTAGAGGTGCGCACACTGATCAGCAGTCTGATCTTGGGAGGCCAGACCTAGGGAAGAGGAAAGAGGCCTGAGGCAAGCTGGGAGCAGACTTAGGATCATCTTTATAGGGAATTCTGGGATCCCAGGGACTCCAAGCACGATGTAGGAATGAAGTGACACAGATTCTGTGTGGGCATGCCCCCTCGGCCCCACAGACTCTTCACTTTGTGTGGAGGGGTACAGCCAGAACAAAGCCATTTCAAGGTCCAGGACAGGGACCCTCCTTACCTGGGTCTGAGGGCAATCCTGGAAGATGTGCTAAGAGTGGACGGAAACATCATGTTCACTTCCTTGTTGTTTACAGTCCCCAAGAAAGGTTAATGATGCTCAGCATTAATTACTGCACCAACATCTGGCCTATCCCACTGAGATTTTCCATTGCTGCATCGAATTTCTATGCATGGTATTGTTGCTGAAAGGGACCCAGATGGTAAAGTTGACCACCTGCTGGATTAAGGCAGAAATTCCCTCCCACCTCTCACCACATTATACAATTTGTAACCATGGAGTGGCTAAAACCTTTTCCCAATGAGAATTTAATTTGAACGTATCTACTTGAAGCTCACAATACTTTTCCTCTAGCAGAAGTTCAAGAGCTTTAATCTTAAAACTTAACCAAAGTTCAGCCAATCAAGCCCCCATTGCTTAAAATATGCTTTCTCTGAATTCTTTTCTACCAGTCCTGAAAAGTTCTAGTTTTGATTGGCGACAGTAGATTAATTTGCCTACATTCATTATTTATTTTTAACTAACAATTATCTTTTTCTTACTCAAATCTTTGTCATGAGATTTTTTTCTCACTAGAAATGAGACTACATACTCAGGAATGTTACACCTTGGACATATCTATTTTCTGAAAGAATGAATGTATATTTGTTCAGTGTTTATACTTGACTCAGTGATGGATCATGCTTTTTAAAAGGGCCATCTAAAATTTTAATGCTCTAAAGATCTAGATTTGGGTCTTCATTTCAATTATGTTGCCCCTTAAAATACAATGATAACTTAGAATTGCCTTCTAAATTGATGAAATCCAGTAAAGGGCAGTGGCCGTTAGAATCCTTGACTGCTTTGACTCCAGATGCTTTGACTCCAAACTTTGGCACTCATTTGTACATAGCATCTACTTGAAATAAGCAAAACTTTCTAGTAATCACTCACTTTTTAAGAGAATGTTATTTCCAGTCTTCAGTGGAAGTAAAGCCTTCTTTATTTCCACCTGACAAATGAGATCCCTTTCATCCTTTTAAGTTTCTATGCTTGTCTCTTTCATGTATTCATTCCACATGTCTGATCCAATTGAGTAAAAATGTCAACCCCAAATATTCACCTATAAAAATAGATTACTCTTTCACCTAACCCCTGAGCAAGGGTTGATTCTTCTCCATGACACCTCATAAGATGCCATGGACATGAAATATGTTAGATGGATGAGTCATATTTGGTGATGATGATGATTGTGCTGAATCTGCAACAGATACTCAAGTGTGAGAAGATTTTTTGTTTTCACTTTGAGGGTTAGAAGGCTATTCTTTCTTGGGTCTGTTTTTGTACTCTAAAGAAAAATCAACATGAATTAAGGGGAAAATCCCTCTGGATTCATTAAATAGTTGAGGACATCTTATTTATCATCTTCCATGATCAAAAGAGAATACCAAAAGGATTATAATGAGAAATAGATAATCATTTTTAAGAGGCAATCTGATAACATGAACCAAATTAGCTTCAGTAACCATGTCTCTATATAAGAAACAGGCCTCCAACGGATTTGGTTCTTTTCTTATGTGTACGTTTTTGCTGTTTTGCTGGCACTCAGCATGACTATGGGTGTGTTAGCAATTACTGAGGGTGAAACAGGAACAGCACTGCCTTATCTCCCTGGTTTCCCAATGTCACTAAATGCATTTTATTTTGAGATTCCTGGTGGTGCTTGGCAAAGATAAACAAAATCTTCCATCAGGAAACCTGTGAGCTATTTCCACAGGAAGTTTCAAATCACTAAAGTAAATAGAAACTCTCTACATGATCTCAATGGTGTTACTTCGGCTCATTTGGGTTCCAACTACCAGGATGAGACCTCATAAATGGAAAGTCTGTGGTCTTTTAAGAAATGATTTGATTGCAACTAGCGCACAATACCTCTGCTCTAGTGTCTGTGTAAAAGCTGATGGCTGATGTTTTGCTCCTTATGCTTGGAAAATGTCCCAAATATAAAAAAGATGCTGAATTAGAGTGGCTATTTCGGACACTTTATTGTTATGTTAAAAATGACTGTCAGCTGCTTCTGAATCTTCTGGCACATTCTTAGATTTTCATTTTAAAAGCAGGAAAACTTCCACTGGTCTCCTCTTTCCTCAATCACTGACAGCGTCATAAGCCCCCATTTCCCCCCCCCCCCCAATCCCAGGTTTCAAATGAATACTTTGGCATTTCTTCAGACGTGACACTTTATAATAAAGCCAAAGCCCAGAAAAATCAGAAAAACAAGCAAAGTGAGTTTTAGGAAAGAGTTATTATTAACTAATTTTGGACTATTGTCCCCTTAAGGTTTAAAGGTTTCTTTATAGCTTTGTGTGCAAAGGATAATAATAATAATAGCATAACATAGTGCTTTTCATCTTCAAAGCACTTTGTAAAATGTTGGCCCAAATTCTTTACTCAAATATAGATACACTATGAGTAACAAGCAATGGGAGGGTTTTGAGAGCATGTCAGTTCAGGGCCAATAACCAATGATTTTTAAAAATCTTTTGGTGAAATGGTCCAAAATGACACTCTCAGTCCAAACATTAAATGATGGTCCAGGGTAGGAAAGCTAAAGAGGTGAGCTCATGGGGTGTTGCTAGAGGCACTTAGGAGATAGAGGTAAAGGTTAGCTGGGAATCAACACTGGAGAAAATGAAAATTGATCTTTAAAATTATTCCCTTCCCCCCATTGCCCCCACTTCAGAACTTGGCAACTCTTCCAGATTAGTTGTCTGCATTTTCAGAAGAAATCTTTGCTCCTTTATGTTTGAGAACACCATCATCAGAAAAGGGGTCCTGAGCAAGTAACCTGCTCTTCTCTGGCCCACTGTGCCAGCAGAGATCAGGAAAAGTAATTTGGAACAGTAGGAGGAGGAGGGTACCAATTAACAGTTGCTTTTCACTGGAAAAGTTGGGGACTAAAGTGGTGTTGATTGGCACGAACCTAGGACTTCCTATTCTCACTTGTTCCCAAAGATAATTTGGATAAGTTTGACCATAAACGTATCTTTGGTTTTTAGTACAAATTGCTTTTATGTTACTTCACTATATTGTCCACTTCAAATGTCCACTTACCAGTAGGAGTACTATACATGATAAAGAAATGGGAAACAAGGTTATCATCCCAACTTTGAAGAGCAACCGTGGGCAAATAAGGAAAAAGAACCATTCTAATAACTGTCCTGTTTTGCATTTTCTATCTTACTTGCGATGAAATAAACTTAACTGGTTTTTACCTGCTATGTTTCATAGGTTTCCCTAAAATAATGCTGATGCTCATTATGAGACCCTGGTTTTTCTGTGAATTTAAGTTCTTTATTCTTATTTTACAGATGTGCCAAATGGGTTTCATGTCAACTTGGAAAAAATGCCTACGGAAGGAGAGGACCTGAAACTGTCTTGCACAGTTAACAAGTTCTTATACAGGGACATTACTTGGATTTTGCTGCGGACAGTTAATAACAGAACAATGCACCACAGTATTAGCAAGCAAAAAATGGCCGTCACTAAAGAGTACTCCATTACTCTTAATCTTATCATCAAGAACGTTTCCCTGGAAGATTCAGGCACCTATGCCTGCAGAGCCAGGAACATATACACAGGGGAAGAAGTCCTTCAAAAGAAAGAAGTTACAATTAGAGGTGAGCACTGCAACAAAAAGGCTGTTTTCTCTCGGATCTCCAAATTTAAAAGCACAAGGAATGATTGTACCACAAAAAGTAATGTAAAACATTAAAGGACTCATTAAAAAGTAACAGTTGTCTCATATCATCTTGATTTATTGTCACTGTTGCTAACTTTCAGGCTCAGAGGAGATGCTCCTCCCAAAATGAGTTCGGAGATGATAGCAGTATTAATGAGACCCCCAGGTCCCAGCTCTGGGCTCCCCATTCAGGCCAAGGGGTCTGCTCTCTGGGGTGGACTTGGTGCACGTTTGGATTTGGAGGATCCCTGCACTGCATTCTCTGTGTTTTTGCTCTTGCTGTTTTCTCCTGCCTGATAAACAACAACTTGGGACTGACCTTTTCCTTCCACTTTGATGCCAACCTCTTTTAATTTTTAAGTTTTGAAGCTGCACAAACTGAATAATTTAAACAAATGCTGGTTTCTGCCAAAGATGGACACGAATAAGTTCAGAATGAGTATAGCTGAATTTGAGACTGTCGGACTTCTGCCTGGTTTTATTTTGTACTATTTCATCTGTTCATGATTTGTAAATAGCACCTGGATAGCAAGTTGTAATGCTTATTTATTTGAAAATGCTTTTTTTTTTTTTTTTTACATTAAGCGCATTGATCTTAAACTGGAGTTTCTAAAATGGGCCCCAGGGGTGCAAGACGTTGGTGTAATTCAGAGACAGTCAAGTTTTATCACAGTGTAAATTATGAAAGTCCACCCAAATTAACCCCACCTCCCTCCTCCTCTCACGCAATTCCAGGTCATTGTGCAATTAGTACTTAACTGGTTTTTAGCTGCTGTGTTTGATAGGTTTCCCTAAAGTAAAAAGATAGATTCTCATCCTTTTAAATTTTGATGCTCATTATGAGACCCTGATTTTTCTATGAATTTAAGTTCTTCATTCTTATTTTATAGATGTGCTAAATGGGTTTCATAGTAAACTAGTCTAGCAAAGGGTTTCCTCCTCACAGCCTCTGACTGAACTATACACTATTTATAGCACCTGAAAAAAGTGGATCATGCCTTGTCCCCTGCTTATTCTTTTAATGAACTTTATCATGTTTACATCATGGCATTCAAAGGTGTATCACAATCAATTTATGAAGGGAATAAAGGCTATTGTGACTGGAGGTATAATACATTCTTCTAAAATTTTAAAAAGTCCACTTTCACCTTATGCAAATGTTAATAGAATTTTTCATGGGGATTAAAAAAATGAAAAAATTATGGAAGCAAAATTTGAAGTCATTTAAAAATACACGCCATTTTTAAATCAAGAGAGATTGTGATCTCTTGTTTTAAGTTTCCATTTGAGTGGAAAGTGACTTTTTCACTAATTTAATATGCATTGTTCTGTTGTTTTCATTTATGATTGATCATTATATGTGACTTGCATGAACTATAGGGGGGGAAAAAACTATAATGACCAAAATAGCCATGGCTGAGAAACACAGTGGCTGGGCTGTTCAATAGGAGGTGACAATATGACAACTTTTCAAGCTTGGGAACTCACCAGACTGTTTCCTCCTTTAGGTAACAGGCTCTGTCCCACGGCTAAACTTGTCTTTCACGTGGGAATTGCTTTTGTCAAGTGTGAAAGAGTAAACAATAGCATTTCCCCAGAATGCCAGTTTTATGGAGCCCCAAATGCTCTGAAAACAATTAGTAACCTGGAAGTTGTCAGCTCAAAGGAAAGAATAATCAATTGTATCTTGAAATTTTACCTATGGCTCTTTGGCCTGGCGTCTTTGTTCATTATAAGTCAGTGTGTTCCTTCAGGAAACAATGCCTTAGTACCACAGAACTTGGGGACCTCAATTTTTACTAAAGCTTAAAAAGCAAATGGAATGATTTAGGGATTGCTTATGAAAAAATGCTGAATTGGACATGCAGAATCTACCATTTCCTTCCCCTTATTACAATTTTTGTGTGGAGGTGAGGATGTTACTATTTACAGAAGGTGATTTTTAGTACTTCCAAAAGATGATTTTAAGAATTCCATAGAGTAATTAATTGTTCACTGTATAATTAATCCTTCCTGAGATTTTATTTAAAAAAGAAACTATTGGGTGGGTTTTGCTTTTTATTAGTTACTCTTTGGGATATTAAGTGAGGTGAGGATAACAGGGAAAAAGAAAGAAAAAAGAGCATAATATGGAGAACAATTGAGATGAAGTAGGGGGCTGTGAGGCTGGTTCCTTAGTCCCCATTTCAAATGAAGAATAGAAACTATGTATTTATGGGACCTGGCAGATCTCTGGGGCCATAACACTGAAAGTAAAAGAAGAACCTGGTGGGGAGCTATCCTTGGCTACTGATAACCAGCAGAAATATTACGTCAATTCTAATTTTCTCAGGTTGAAGGAATCAGCTACCTTTGTTAAATTCTGATAAGCAGCTAACTACTTCTATCAAATAACTTAGGTTTTAAAATATGGATTCAATGTACCCTTTCTTATTTGAAATGTCAAAATGGATTATTATAATGTATAAAGTAGGAATTGACAAAATATGATTCCTGGGTTGATTGGTCATTTAGAAACTAGCCAAAAATGAGACTTTTAACATAGGAAGAACATTTTTCAGAAATGGGTACAAAGAAAAAACTCACAATACTGTATGTTTCAGAATGTTTATGTGAACTTTGTACTTAACTGAGAGTCCCATGTTTATTCTGCAGCCTTTGTGCTGCTTCTATTGTCTGAAGTTTGTGTAGTACAAGTAGGGCATATGAGAGTTTTTCATGACATTTATGTTAAAATAAAATGTTCTCTTCTATATAAGCATTGTTTTCTAATACACCTGTCAGGGAAGTCCAAATCCTGTCTGTGTTGATGATGTTATAGTTCATAGCTGTGAAAGTAATTTGGGTATTGTGTGCCTATACTCAGACTTACTTTTTATAAGGCCTATGGGAAATGATAGGTTATTTTTACCATATTTAATGCATGGGAAATAGTAAATTACTAGAGAAAGCTATTAAAAGTACAGCTCAGTGAACTGGGTCTGAGTTTTAAATGAGATATGTAAAAGTTGGCTTGCCACTGTAAAAGATACTATATAGTAATATGATACCATTCTTTATTATCTTGTCATGTTTCACTGATACGTTTGGGGTCTTTACTGTGTAAAAAGGTCAAAATTGTAATAAGAAAGCATGTACAAGTTGTCATAAGTTGAAGGTTTTGTTATATGGGCCTGCATTTTCAACTAGGAAAAGCTGTTTGACAGATTACACAGAATGCAAACACAGAAATATTGTAATGGTTCTGTCTAGAAGGGCAACATAGGATAGGAAAGACACGATGAGAGAGGCCAAAGGATCATTGCTTCATTCATTCCACACTATGTTTGAAGAAGGTTTTGTAAATGACAGTACTTCTTTCAACACTCTTTTTTGCCTTCAGACTTCATCTTGTATGAAACGAGAAGACTAATGATAAGCTATGGAAATCAAGATTTATTGAGAAATCTGTTTCTCCTAACAGATAGTAACCCTGCCATATTATACTACTTCAACATGTTATAAAAGTTATATGATAATATATTCTTTAACCTGGGATTTCTAAATTGCTTTAACGAATGCTAATCCTGAGAGTTTCCCTGCAGGAATAAAAAGAGAAAGGTTTGGGGACTCGGCAGAATCCTGCAGGGACATGGAATAAAAGCCATTGCAATGTATCATCTTTTATAACATTGTAATCACTCCTAAGCTGCATTCACAGTTTTAATACACTAAGATGAGGAAATCAAAAATGGTCAGAGAAAGCTCATACTGTATATTTGAAACCAGTGACGCAGAATGTGTAAGTTATGGCAAAACTCTTTTGATTTCTGTTTCTGGATTTGCAACAAGAGGGGAAAGGGATGATTTGGGAGGGCAGGGACGACCTTAGGAGTTGTTTTTATTCTTTTACCTTGGAAGCATGAGCTACCAATCCAGTACCCACCTAACTAGAATGTATACACATCAGCAGGACTGACTGACTACTTCATTAAATAGAGACATTGGGGGCCTTGTGGGTACTGCTGTTTCTATGTGGGATTTTAATGTTGTAATGTATTGCATCTTAATGTATTAAATTCATTTTGTTGTACTATATTGGTTGGCATTTTATTAAAATAAAATGTATCATATTTGTATGTTTTAAGAGAAAATAATATAAAATATAATATTTGTACTATTATATAGTGCAAAAACTACAAATCTGTGCCTCTGCCTCTTGAATTAATTCTTTGGTCACTTGCATTTGGGAAGGGAATGGAGGAAGGAAATAATAAAGATTTCAAAGTTCAAGAAATTCTCCTGTTTGGTCTGCTGCCTTACAATTTAGCTTACTGACAGATGAATAACACAAACGTGCCCTCACAAACATATCAATAAAAATACATATGAAATTATATCAGCCCATCACTACAACACTATATAGTTATGCAAAAATTCATTACAAGCCTATATTCAAAATCATGTTTTTCATTTATAGCTCCTGAAATTTTATACAAAATTTTTGGGTTTTAGATTTCTCTCAAAAAAAAGGAAGAAAACCAGTTCACCAGGCAAAAACCTTTGCATTGAAATCTAAAAGTACAGAATCTAGTCCTTGATTTTACTGTGTTCTAACAGATTTCAATTTATTGTAGCATCTTATTAAAGAGAGAGCAGTAAGTTAACTCTTGAGGAGAAAGTTAGGAAACAAAACGCAAATGAAACCCTATAGCAGAGTTTTGCTTTTACTATATATATTTTAAATGTTGATATGCATGTACAATAAAAGAATAAAACTGACAAGTAACCACAACTCCCTTTTTTTCTTCACTAGATCAGGAAGCACCGTACCTCCTAAGAAACCTCAGTGATCACACAGTGGCTATCAGCAGCTCCACCACTTTAGATTGTCATGCTAACGGTGTCCCAGAGCCTCAGATAACTTGGTTTAAAAACAACCACAAAATACAACAAGAACCCGGTAAGAGATTTTTTCCTTGCTTTACTCCTCATCCTTCATCACCCCTTTTTTCCCCTAACATTCCTATCACCTGTTTCCAGTATATCTACAACCAGTTGCTGACAGAGCTGCAAAAATTGGTCTCTGGTTCATGTGTATATCATTTCAAATGAGGAATATTTGGGCCAGTTCCTATGCAGACCATATTCCTAACCATATAGAAAGATCCTTACAGAATCTATTCAGCTGGAATGCTTTTTTTTTTTTTTTTTTTTGTCCTTTTTGAGACCGGCCGCACCGCGCTCAGCCAGTGAGCGCTGTGAGCGTACCGGTCATCTCTATATAGGATCCGAACCCGGGGCGGGAGCGCAGCTGTGCTCCCAGTGCCTCACTCTCCCAAGTGCGCCATGGGCTCGGCCCAGCTGGAATGCTTTTAATAGTGCATTCAGAAAGAAATGAGAAGAGCCACTTAGAAAAAGGTTCAGTTCATCTTGACAGCTGGGAAAGTGAGTTTCTTGGCTTGAACAAGAGCTTTGAACACTTAACATGTATGAAGTTCAGAGAAGTATATTTATAATCTTTTCAATTCACCTACAGCAATTTTAATTATCTGGTAAGAAAAGCCTATTTAAAATGATATTTTATCATACTGGTGAAAAAAATCTACACTAGTGGTTATTCATTTATTCAATAATAAATATTCTTTTAAAAAGTAGAGAAACTAATAAGTATAAACACTATCGATTGCCTGCGTCCTAATTCTATGGTTAAATAAGATTAAATTGAACTTATCTAAAATTTTGATTGGTAATTACATTAAAAATAAAATTGCCATTTATTTGTAGTATTCCAACAACCTAAATCAAGTAAGTGGCAATATGGAGTGGTCCTTAAATGTGTGTCCTCTCCTCAAAATGAAACTTCCATTTGAGTTTGATACACAGAATGGGGTTGTATAATAACAACTCCAAATTTTAAGATATCTGCAAATGTCTTAGAAAGGCCTTACACTCAGCAGGTCCAAAATCAATCACATCACATCGTTTCTCTTCATGAAGTAGCACTTCGTCTTATACTGACATCATATACTTAATCATCCAAACTAGAAGGTGGACCTCTTCTCCACCATCCTATCCAATCAGTCACTAGACTGAGCAGGTTATATCTACTAACTACCAAATGTTTCTCAAATCCATGCCTTCTTCTGTTCACCTGTTGTTCTCTTGGTTCAGACACTCATTATCTATCCTCTGAACATATGCACTAGTCTCCTAACGCATCTCCCTACCTCTCTTTTCATCTATTTTTCACATAGCTGTATGAAATAACAGCTGTGAACATGTCGCTTCCCTGCTTCAAGTCTTCCACTGACTCCCCATCACACAGCTGGATAGAGTCAAGCATCTGACTGAGAAAGGCCCTCAATAACTGGCCCCTGCCCACTTCTACAACTTGATGCTCTGCCTCCTCTGCCTTGAACTTTATATTCTAGCAATGTCAAAGTCTTATAGATCACTGTATACATTAAGCTTCTTCAACCCTTTTTACTTTTTTGTTCCCTTGTCCCCTCTGCCTGGAGTACATTCCTTTCCTCTAGTGCTTACCCATCCCTTAGGACTCAAACTGGGTGTTCTCCCTCCAGAAGGTTTACTCAACTCCCACAAAGAGGAGGCAGCTCCTCCATGAGACTTTATTATAACTTATCAATGTTTCTACTTCTCTTATGGAGTTTTTTAAAAAAAATCATCAGTTCATATGTGTCCGTATTATCTATGCATATTTCTACTGCTCTCTTAATATATCGTTTTCTAACAGTTGATATGTGTTTCCCCCTAGAAGGGCAGAGAACATATCTTTTTGTCTTATTTGTATCTTGTCTTTATATCCTTAGACCCTGACATAGTGCTTGGCAATCAATAAATGTTCCATGAATGAATGAATGAATGGTTTTCAGAAAATCTTATTCTATCCTTAGCCAGTTCATTTGATAACATTGGGCGTGCAGCCTATATCATAGAATTTTTAAAGCTGAAGGGACTTTGGAATATCTTTAATCCAATACATAGAATAGAAAATTTAGGCCCAAAATGCTAAAGTGATTTGCCCAAGATGACACAGTAAAGATGGGTAGTTTAATGAAAAACAAATCCCTTGAGGTGTTCTACCAGAACAAAAGGATGAATTAATACATGAGTAAATAAATAGCTTGTGAAAGGATGCAGTACCCTCTCCTTAGAGATGCAGAGTTCACATGAGCACATCAAAGAGCCAAAGAGGAAACCTGGTAAACTGAGTTTTTAAGTTCTGTATTTCTCAAACTTACTTGATTACAAAATACAATTTAAGAAATCATGTAAGATGTTGAATGGCTCCTTGAAATAAGTTAATTTGACATAAGTTCAGTTTCCATACTTTGTATGTGGGTTAAGAAATCAGAGTTAAACCAACTTTGAAAGCTCATGACCATTATGGGATTAGTTACTACAAATGGAAATATACAGTGCTAGGGAGACCAGGGTCTGCGTCCCGACTCCATCCTCATGGGTCGTGTAAGAATTTGGGCAATTCTTGTCCTTACTCTCTGAGCCCCTATTTCCTTATTTATAAAATTGAGATAATACTAACCACACAGGAATGTGGTGAGGTTTAAATGAGTTAACATGACTAAGCTAGCCCATATTCATGGCTCAGTAAATACTACCTTCCAAACCACCTCATTTATACAGAAATTGTGCAGTCGTCAGAATTCACTGGAAGGCATCAAGAGTTAATTAATAAGTCAGCTCAAATGTCAGACAACTCAAAAACAGTATATTAAAGATATCTCCCCTCCTCCCCCAATGTTCCTTTGATCTTCTGAGCAAAAGAGGAATAACCAAAATGAGTCATATAAATACTTATATAAAATCTTTTATAGATATCATTTTAGTATGCTACTACATATTAGCATTTATTAAGCTCAACTATGCTAAATCATCAATTTATCTTTCTCTTCCCTTTATTCATTCCTTAAAACTACTATAGTCTTTTGGAAAGGAACTTCTTAGTTCTCTGGAGATAATATTTTATTTGTATATAGTTTCTATAAAGTTTCATATGGAATATTCCCATCTGAGGCAGCAAACGCAGGTTCCATGCAATATGCTCCATGACTATGACTATTATGTTTGTACATACAGATATCTTTAAAAGTGCCAACTGTTTTATGGTTATTTCTGTTTATAAACCTATGAATAAAGATGACACATAACCAAAGTAATACTCCTTGACTCAATGGTTCCAAAGCTGAAATGAAAGAACATTAAAATCATGGCCTAAAAAGACTGAAAATTAGTTCATTACTAACTAAGCCCTTGGCAAGCTAGAATGAGTTTTAAAACCTTGGAAATAAAGTATATATCCTTTGGAGACTTGAGATGCATCTTTTATACAAAGCCTGGCAGCTCAAAAAGGATTTCTACTCCAAGAGAATTTTAGTGACCTTGGATCACTGATAGGATCCAGTGCATTATCATTGTTATTTGTTAAATGATAACTTGCTCTCATTCCAAAGAAAATACGAGAGGGGAAGCAGGGCACACATGAGAGCTCACACTCTGGACAAGTGGCCATAAAATGCCTGCTGAAAGAACTTAGGGTAGTTGGAGCTTTTCCTTCCCTTCTCATTTCCTTTCAGGAAAAACCTTTCAGTGGGGCACAACCATTCTCCAGAAGAAAGGCAATTTCATGAAAGTGTTATAAAACCTGAATAGTAAGCTCTTGGGCCAAAGGGCATCAAGCAGGAACAAAAGGGATCTTAAACGTGCAGGCTCAGAAAGCATGTGCACAGGGGATGCGAGAGGCAATCTCTCTGCCAGGGCAACCCAAGTGGGAAGAGAAGGGGCCCCGTAAACCACACTGTACATTGAGCATGTGGAACTAAGCATTAGTTCACACACATCACTCACAAGAGAACAAGCAAGCACTAGCTTTACATGACCTAGTAGGCATCAATAAACATGTATTTAAAACAATAAATATCTTGTCATTCCTAACTCTTAAAGATTAAGTCTCTTCAAGACTTGAGTTCATTTAAAGCATATTTTTAAACATTTTTAAAGTACATTTTTAAATATATGAAGAGTTTTTTAAAGAGAGCTATATGAAGCATTTTTAAAAACTCAACATGTCATGTATAAAGTTAAAAATTAGTTTGAGGGCCGGCCCAGTGGCGCACTGCTATAGTGCGCCGCTTGGGAAGCGCGGCAGCGCTCCCGCCGAGGGTTTGGATCCCACATACAGACCGGTTCCCGCTCACTGGCTGAGCGAGGCGCGGGGGCAACACCGAGGGCTGCGGTCCCGTTGCCGGTCCCGGTCTGGTGCGGGGGCGACACTGAGGGTTGCGATCCGTTGCCGGACACGGAAAAAGACAAAAAAAAATTAGTTTGAAACCAACTCTAGTTTTATTTATTTATTTATTTATTTATTTATTCATTCATTCATTCATTTATTTATTTATTTTTGGCGGCTGACTGATATGAGGATCCAAACCCTTGACCTTGATGTTATCAGCATCACCCTCATAACTAAGTGAGCTAACTGCCAGCCCCACTTTTAAGTTTTAAAAAGTCCAGAGTTTGAAACCAACTCTAGTTTTATTTATTTATTTATTTATTTATTCATTTATTTATTTATTTTTGGCGGCTGACTGATATGAGGATCCAAACCCTTGACCTTGATGTTATCAACATCACCCTCATAACTAAGTGAGCTAACTGCCAGCCCCACTTTTAAGTTTTAAAAAGTCCAGAATTCATGCCGTATTAGCCTAACACTCATTTATTTACTTATTCAACAAATGTATATTTATTCACTACTTTGTATCTGATGCTGTGCTAGGCTCTGCAAAAATAGCAGTGAACAGGAAAACTAAAGTCTGACTAACCAAAATTCTAAAGTAATTAATTTATGTATGTGTCTTATTAAAATACAGCTTCTTCAAGCAGCAACCATGTGTGGGTAGGCCAAGTGTGTCCTGCCTT